AGCATCTTCTACCCTTACCATTTTCATATCTACTTTTTTGTAATTAATAAATATGTCAAAAATTTAATTTGCAATAGGGAACATATTAATGGATTTTCCTAAAGTTATACAATTTATATTGTTTGTGTTTATTAAAAAGCTTCTGCACGGCTAAGGAAAGAATTAACGGAGCAAATAGAAAACCTCAGAATGGGAGAAAATATTTGCAATCTACACATCTGATAAAGGGCTAATATCTAGAATCCATAAAGCACTCAAACAAATCAGCAAGAAAAAAATTAACAGCTCCATTAAAAAGTGGGCAAAAGACATGAACAGAAGTTTTTCAAAAGAAGATAAACGAATGTTCAACAAACATGAAAAAATGCTCAACGTCTCTAATCATCAGGGAAATGCAAATTAAAACCACACGGACATATCACCTTACTCCTGTTAGAATGGCTATTATAATATTAAAAAGTCCAAGAACAATAGGTGCTGGCATGAATACAGAAAGAAAGGAACACATATACACTGTTGGTGGGAGTGCACATTAGTACAACCCCTGTGGAAAACAGTATGGAGATTTGTTAATGAACTAAAAGTAGACCTACCAGTTGATCCAACAATCCCACTACTGGGTATTTACCCAAAGGAAAAGAGGTCATTTTATCAAAAAGACACCTGCACTCACATGTTTATTGCAACACAATTCACAATTGCAAAGATGTGGAATCAATCCAAGTGTCCATCAATTCATGAATGGATTAACAAAATGTGTTATATGTATACCATGGAGTACCTACTCAGCCATAAAAAAGGATGAGTTAATGCCTGTTGCAGCAGTTTAGAAGGAATTGGAGACCATTCTTCTAAGTGAAGTATCTCAAGAATGGATAAACAAACACCACAAGTACTCTAATAAATGGAAACTAATTGATGGGCACACAAATACGCAGAGGAAAGTAAAAATCATTGGAAATGAAGCAGGGGGGAGGAGGAGGGAGGAAGGGCAAAACCCCATTTAATGGGTACAATGAACATATTCGGGTGAGGAGCACATTTATAGCCCTGATTCAAGCCATGCATTAAAAACATCTATACCCCCTTAATATTTTGAAATTAAAAAAAGAAAAAAAGCTATTTTAAATATTTTCTACTTTTAGGTATCTTGTTTCCCATTTAGTCAATACGTGATTGAGAACAGAATTGGTAATAAAGACATCTGCTTTCATGCAGTAAATATTGAATGATGGCCTACTGTATGTACATAGTACTGTGCATGTACTGCAAGCCACAGGAGTAAATAGACGTGGTTCTTGTCTGAGGGACTATTATATTTAACGGAGGAAGCAGATTTTCACATAAAGGAAATTAAAGCAAGTCCTGCGTGATCCAAGGGGAAAGAGTAATGTCATATGAAACATTGGATTGAGATTTAAAATAAGATTCTAACCAGAGTGAGTAAGAAAATCCAATATAAACAAAAACAAGGAAGTATGAAAATGAATAGTTTGACTGAGGAACAATCAAATCTCAGAAATAAATGAATTATGGGTGCATGAATGTAGAAGCCAACAGTGATGAATAATTAATATGTGACCAAATCAGGGAGGAACTTGACTGCCATGCTTGAGTTAGTAATGATATCAAAACATCCATTAATAGTCAGAGACTTCAACACCCCACTGACAGCACAGGACAGATCCTCCAAACAGAAAATTAACAAAGAAATAATGGACTTAAACAAAACTCTAGAACAAATGGGCCTGATTGACATTTACAGGACATTCTACCCAAAAACCACTGAATATATGTTCTTCTTATCAGCTCATGGGACATTCTCTAAGATTAACCATATCCTCGGACACAAAACACGTCTCAAAAAATTAAAAAAAAATAGAAATCATACCATATATCTTCTCAGACCACAGTGGAATAAAAGTAGAAATTTCAATACAAAGAACTTTTTCCCCAAAATCATTTGAGAGTGATTATGTAATGAAACATATCAAAGTTATTACCAATCAAAACTCCCCAAATTTCCATTATTTTGCCATAATTTTCAATGACCAACTTCAATTATCCTTGCAGTATTTTAAAGCAAATATAGCATATCATATCATTTAGTTTGTAGCTATTTCAGTATCTATTTCTAACAGATTAAAAACCTAATACAAATACTGGTATCATACCTAACAAAATATACGTAATTTCTTAACATCAAATAAAAACTCTATTTTGGTAAAAAAAAAAACAACAAAATATCCATTGGAAATGTTCACTTTGGAAAAGATTTAGCAAAGTCTATAAAGTCAAATGTTTGTGGCTATTTGGAGTGGTGTGCAATTATAGATTCTGGTGCTAGGCAACAGGCTCTTTCTGAAGACATTTCAGTTTAGATTTGGACATTTCAGTTGGTTAAAAAAACTACATATAAAAACTTTTCATTAACATTTTGAAAAAATTGGATAGCTATATAATATCTCTGAATTTACTGTATTGATAATTATTATAGAATGAAGTAATCTTAATGATACAAATCAAATTACATGAGACAAAATACACTTACTGAATCAGCTGATCAGTTTAATGGGGGAAAATGTTTTAAATGTTTTCACTTTTTATTAGCAATTACATTTTAAAGATTCTAATACAGCTTTTTGGGTGTGTTTTGGACTTCTTGCCAGCCACTAGAGTTAGATACAATTTAGGAAAGTTTTGTTTTTGCATGGTCAGATAAAAGGAAAAAACAAACAAAAAAACCCCCCAAAACAAAACAAAAAATTAAAAAGTCCATAGAGAATAGCAAAGATTTTCCTAATGTCTAAAAGTGTTTATAAAGGTTATTTTCTGGTCTCTTCTGATAAGGACCAAATCATATCTTTCACCCATAAAGGTAAATCTAATTTTAAAATAAATGCTGGCCTGGTGCAGTGGTTCATGCCTGTAATTCCAGTACTCTGGGAGGCCAAGGCAGAAGGATTGCTTGAGCTCAGGAGGTCAAGACCAGCCTGAGCAAGAGTGAGACCCCATTTCTACTAAAAATAGAAAAAATTAGCCAGGTGTCCTGGCTTGCACCCAGGGTCCCAGCTACTTGGGAGGCTGAGGCAGGAGGATCACTTGAGTGTAGGAGTTTGAGGCTGCCGTGAGCTACCATGATGCCACTGCATTCTACCCAGGGTGACAGAGTGAGATTCTGACTCAATGAAAAAATAAAAATAATAAATAAATAAATAAATAAAATCCTAAGAAAAGCTTTGTATTTAAAACCTTACAAATGCTACCTCAAAAATGGAATGCACTGCATATGAAAACCACTCAAGTGAAAAATTCTGTATGCTTCTCTCACACATTGTCACTGCACCTCTTTGCTCTTGCAGTAACAAAAATAAATATTCCTTTTTCTTCCCTGAACTAGGCTTAAATATTTAAAAACACAGTTTATGAGATAATTGAGTTATTAAGGTTAGGAGAAAGAGATACTAATCTTGTGGAGGAATCAATTTCCAAAGAAATTCATGGCGAGCTATATATGCAATGAATATACTCCATAAAGGGCAATTTATCTTCTAAATAATGTCATTTAGGCCAGGCACGGTGGCTCACACCTGTAATCCTAGCACTCTGGGAGGTCGACGTGGGATGATTGCTTGAGCTCTGAAGTTCGAAACCAACCTGAGCAAGAGTGAGGCCCCATCTCTACAAAAAATAAAAAAAATCAGCTGGGTGTCATGGCTCATGCCTGTAGTCCAGCTACTTGGGAGGCTGAGGCAAGAGGATCACTTGAGCCCAGGAGTTTGAGGTTGCAGTGAGCTGTGATGATGCCACTACACCCTACTCCAGTGACTGAGCTAGAGGCTGTCTAAAAAAAAACAAAAACAAAAACAAAAAAAAAGAAAACACAACAACAAAAAACAATGTACAATGCAGTTTAATTTTTGCTTTATTCTGGTAATTTGCTCCAAGTCTTAGGGTGTATTTTTCTTTTACTATGTTAGTAAATTAATTTAAACAATTAAGTTTGTTTAAAATTTTTCATCTGTGTTCATGATAGCTATATATCTGTATTTTTTTTCTTGAAATGTCTTTAGTATTAGGATAATATTATTACTAGTCTCAAAGACTGAATTGAGAAGTATTTCTTCCCATTCAATTTTCTGGAAGACATTATGTAAAATTGTTATTAATTATTCTTTAAGTATTTGGTAGAATTCTGCAGTGAAACCATCTGGGCCTGGAAATTTTCTTTTTGGAAGCTTTAAGATTATGAATTCAATTTTTAAAATGGTTACGGGATGATTTAGATAATCTATTTAATCTCAGAGCCATCAGTAGCTCATGCTGTTTCACCATCTGGCCAGACCTACTTTCTGACATTCAATAATCTATTCACTTAAAACAAACAAACAAACAACAACAAAAATATATATATATATATATTATATATATTCATTTACTTCTGAATTTTTTTTTCAGCATATTATGGGGTACAGATGTTTAGGTTATGTATGTTGCCCTTGCCCCTGCCCCCAAGTCTGAGCTTCAAGCGTGTCCATCACCCGGGTGGTGCGCATTGCACTCGTTTTAGTGTATGTTTTTCATCTATAAAATGGGACTACTTCACCTTGTTGTTATCAATATTAAATAAAAATGTATGTAAAGACTCGGAAATGATTAATCTCTTAAAAATATTATTTCTATTGTTTGTTTCCCTGGAAGGCTATATTTACATATTCTGTAGGATTACGCCCTCTTTTTGGCTTTGTTTTGTCTTTTAATCAGCAAAACCAGTAGAAAGGAAGGGAAAAAGCAAGCAAGAATAGAATTGATTCCCTTTTTGTTAAAATTTAATTCTATAGACAACTATTTTGGAAATTTTGCTCTGCGTAATCATTTATCTGGGCTGAGTATACCTGGACTTAATCATGAATACTATAAAAATATTGCATAAAATCACATCTATGTGGTTACTTATACATTTATTCTAAAGCTTAAAAGAAAGGCTACAAGACAAATGTAGTTGTCAAGCTTTGAATTTATTCTTCATACAGGAAAAAATCACATAGTTGGAATGACAATGAAGTTACAGTCTTTTCTTCTTTAGCATGTTGTTTCAGGAAACAGATAATTTGCCATTTTGATGCAAAGTTCTAGTGACCTAAATCATATGGTTATGCAGTTTGCAAGATCCTTGACTTGTTTCAGTTCATTAAATTTAAAGTACTAAGTTTAGGTCAAAGTTCAAAGTTGTCATCAAAGACTGTGCTACTTTTGTAAATCACTGTATGAAAGAGATTTCTCTAAAGATCCAGGAGAAAAAGATACATTGTTGTCTGGAATTAAATTTGTAACTAACATGCCTACAATTTTCCCCTGGTATGTATCAATTAAATGACGCAGCCCTTCTCTACGTAGTCCTTCACAATGCACACCAGGCATGTTAGTAAATTTTGTTTTCACATAGGCAAGAAGCCTTGCACTTTTCCTTGAGCAATTCGTGTTCACAGCCAGCTGTATTCTTCAAGGAATCACAGTTAGTAAGGAGATCTTCATACTCGCAACTATTGGCTGTAACAAAAACAGAGTATCATTATCATCTTCCTTCTTGAGGGACATATGAGGTATCTTAGTTGAGCTCACTGATTAATTTATAACATTTTAAATTTCAAATTTAGCGATACGTTTCTAAAACGAATTGACCCACTTTTCTCCTTCAGCGAACAGAGTAAGAATGAATGTAATTAAATCTCTCTATACCTGCAGAGTCACAAGAGTCCAATATGGGACCTACTAGCCACATACAAGTATTCGCATTTAAATTAAATTAAAAATTTAGTTTCTTAATCTTACTAGCCGCATTTCAAGTGTTCAGAAGCCTCATGTGACTAGTGGCTAAACTCCCAAGGCGCACATTGATAGAGAACATTTCCACCATATCATACTTTTGGGCAGCACGGCTTTATACGCCAGTGTTTTCTTTCTGGAGTAAATGATCTTTATGGGTGAATACAGATGTAAAACAAGGACAATATGCCCTTTTTCCCTCTGATGTTTCTACTAGGATGTTCCCCAAGGGCCCCAAACTCAACAAATGTCAAACTAAACCCATCATACTAGCCACAAGGCTGACAATTCTTAGGTATGGTCTCCCTGTACCACTCCCACAATCTCAGGGAAATAGCACTTCAACTGCTCCATCACTGAAGGCAGGAACTGGAATCAACCAGAACTCTTTCCTCTCTCCTTTGGAGCAGCACTCAACCAGCACAGGTAACAAACTCATTGACTATTCCAATTTCTGTCTGTCAAACCTATCCATTTTTCTTCATTCATTTTGCTAGTACTGTAGTAAAGACACACATTTAAAAAAAAGTTTTATATTATTCATAATTGACACATAATGATTGTACATATTTATGGAGTACATGTGATGTTTCCATACATGCATACACTGTATAGTGATCAAATCAGCATATTTAGCACCTCCGTCACTTTAAACATATCATTTCTTTGTGGTGATGACATTCAAAATCCTCTCTTCTAGCTATCTTGAAATACACAATACATTATTGTTAGCCGTAGTCACCCTATTGTGTAATATCAGAGCTTATTCTTCCTGTCTGACTATAACTTTGTACTCATTGATCAACCTTTCCCCATTTTCCTCTTCTATCTTCCCTCCCCAGCCACTGGCAATCACTATTCTACTCTATACTTCTTTATATGGCTGAGGTAAGGTCATATTTCCCTGAATATTCTTCATGCTGGCGGACATATCTCAATATCTAGGCATTGAAGAAGTAGGCATTTATTCTAGTCTGCACATTTGGGGATTGTTTTTACCTGTCTTTCTTCAGAGAGCCTTCCAGGAATTCAAAGGAGACTGACTGTTGAGTTCTCTAAGCCTGGAGTCATATCCTCTAGGATACTGGAGGGTATCCTAAGCCAGGTTTTCCACAAACCTGGTTAGGGGTGGGTGACACAAGCAATTCTGTGGCCACTGCAGAGGATGCTGTACCTTGTTGCATCTGAAGCTGATCTCCCAGACTAGCACATCACCTGGGCTCGCTTAAGGCCCTAAACTGCTATGGCCTGCCTGCTTCTAAAATTTATTTTGGGTCCAAGGCCACTTTAGCTGGCCACTGGTGATATGGGTTGGGACTTGACTCTGTCCTACTGGGGTGGCCAATTCCCATCTGGTGCTGGGGCAGGTCTAGAGGCTTTGTCTGTGCCAGTATGGATTCAGGGTTCTTCCTGGTGCTGTTTTTTTTTTTTTTTTTTTGGCAGACTTGGTACTGGATTCTAAGGGAAAGTCTCCCACAACTTTCTTCTCCTTCCCTCAAGAGGATGTTGTCTCTCTCTAGTTGTGTTGCCTGGGGTTGCAGAGGTGATGCAGGCAATCTTATGGCTCCATCAGCTGACACCATGCTGTGTCACATCTGAAGCCCGGGGCCTCCCAGACCAATGCAACAACAGAGCTTGCCCAAGGCCTGTGGCACCTACCACTGGCCTACTGCTGAAATTCACTCAGAGTTCAAGGTCACCTCAGTCAGCTGGTGGTGCTGTGGGCCAGAACACAAATCTGTCCCATCAGAGTGGTGGCTTTCCCCCTGCTGCTGGAGTGAGTTCAGAAACTCCATACATGGCCATTGCCTGGAGTCAGGGTCTGCAGGTTCTTCCTAATGCTGCGCTTTACTGTAGAGGGCCTGGCACTGGGTTCCAAGACAAAGTCCCATGCATACCTCTTTTTCCCTCCCCAAGTGGACAATATCTCTCTTCATGCTGCCTGGGGTTGGGGGAAGGGTGGGGCAGGCAATGTAAGACCGTCCTTCCTACTATCTTCAACATGTCTTTTGTTATTAGTATGCTAAAACCAGGTACTGTGATTTATCACCTGGTGTCCGTAGCTCTCGCGAAGGTACATATTCTTACATGGGTAGTTGTTCAAATGGATGTTTCCCCGGGGGGATGATCATTAAAGGGTCCTATTCTTTCCCACTCAAACTCCCATGAAAAATAAAAAGGTCCTATTCTACCATGTTGCTCCATCTTAGACTCATTTTTCTTTTAAACCCATGTTTTTCAACAGTTTTACAGCTGACTTTCATTAAATTGTTTCTGCATGCTATTGCTAGAAAGCTCTTTATATAACATAACTGATCATTCCACTTTTTTGTTTAAAATCTTCCAATTGAATGTCCATTACTAATAGGATGAATACAAAATCTCTTAGCAAATAGCATTCAACACATTTATAAATATTCAACTTTTTTCTTCATTAGTTGATTTATAACTTTAACATCATCAATAACCATTGAGTCAGAAGAAATGCTAAGTAAAGTTGAACACATTTAAAAGGTAAAAATCACAGTGAGTGGGTCAACTCTGTCATTTATAAAAGCATCCCAACTACATAAAGCCAACAGCTATTTTTACTTTTATTCATGGCAATTTAAAAAATGAGCTATATGACATTTATTTTATTCTCTCCTTTTGCAACATTATGTTCTATGAGATAATACTGTATACAGATTAAATTTTGTTGTTAAAATGTACCCAAAGCTACTATCAAATTATAGGGCAAGCGATCCTAATTATATTATAGAAAAGAAGTGAGGAAGTCAGCATGATGAACTTAGCACAAATAAACAATAATATTTGGTGTGCCTGTCTAGTCTGAGTCATAATGTGGTCTCACATTCTTAGATTTATACATTTTGAATCTTTTAAAATACCACTTTTGGTATAATGATATTAATTTGAATGAAATGAGCTATTTACCAGAAACGTACATGGTCAATATGGGCTCTGCGTAGTCACAAAAAGACACTGATGGTATGTGTTCCATTATGTTACATATGGTAATATTCTCTCCATTACAAATAATATGTAGGTTACTGAAGTGTATAAAATGTTTATTTGAACACATTTTTGGAGTATTTTTTGGCTTTTGCATAAATACATTGCTTAAATTGTTTACTTTAGGAGATTTCTTAAATTAAAAAAAAGCAAAGAAAATATCAACTATTTAATCATCTCAGACTTACTGCATAGTCCTTTTTCACAGTTATCAGGACAACTGGCACAAGGTGCTCCTTGTTGGTAAGGGGTATTCTTTTTAACGACATTATTACCGCTGAAATTTAAAATGCACAATGTCAAATATTTTTCACTTTGCTATTTGGTTTATATTCTTAGGGCAGCATCAGTCACCAAATATACACAAATGGCTATTCAATGTTTTCAGCATGTCAACAAAACTGAAAAAGTTACAATTCCCAATGTGTAGTTCAGAGAAGATGTTTTATACATTGACCCATCTCCTTGACCATAATTCCACATGCTGAGCAACTAAATTGGGATAATTAGAGTCTAAAGTTTTCTTAGTGCATTTCAAATGAGACAACACTCTCTTCATCTTCCAGTAGACTCCATCAAATTGCTAAGGCAGTGCACCCCGAGGTGCTGGTTATGGTAAAATATATCCTCCCCACAGAGAAACGAGAAGATCCTAGAGGAGGTGGGTTGCAGTAGGAAAATGAATATTCACTGTTACAATATCATTTTATATTTGAAAGATGAAAAAAATAACATTATTTCTTTAATATGAACTACAGAAAATACTATTCCAGCATATTTTTTTTTCCTTCTAGATGGAGACAGTGATTTTTAAGTAGTTAGTGGCATGTGTGTATTTGGCCGGATGTGCTGAGGAAGGTCTGTGAGTTTCTAGGGGTGGTATGAGTAAGATTTTTATGTTTACCAAAAAAGAATGTTATTTAAGAAAAAAATGATACGTGCCAATATCCAGAGTATAACCTTTTTATGCAGTTTAACCTGCAATTCACTGATGGTCATTATCCTATTGGCCATTTAATTGATTTAAAAATACATGGGAGTCCAAATCTCAGTAGTACCAAGTGGGGCAAAAACCCGAAGTAATGTGTCTGAATGTCAATCTCCCTGCACAGAATATAGCTCTATGTGTGTGAGCCTTGGCAAAAACTGTGAAATAGATATAAAATTGTTCTGGAAGTTCTCTCTCCTCTGCTTTCCCTCATTCATTCCAACTGTTACTTCTAATACCTGGCTTCAGATGCCCACCTCTGAATGCCAGTCAGTGAGTTCGCATGCATTCTTCTAGGGCCTTTCAGTTCTCTCCACTTAAGCCATAATACATGTTTGCAGGAAAAGGACTTTGGAGGTAATACTTATCAAACTGGAACACTACATAGGTTATCCACAGTTTCAAAACAAATCCTATAAAAGGTTTGGTTTTTGGGCCCCCCAACCTCCCATGGTAAAGAATTTCAAACATTAAAAAAATTTAAATTGGATAAGATATGTTGTGAATATATGTTTAATACACCTATAGGACTTTTTATGAATAACTTCAAACATATTGTTTGATCAAGGGGCATGGTTCCTGCTACATTTTATTAATACGATTTTACAAGAGGGTTATGGAGTTTAACATGAAAAACTCTGAGAAGCAAAGACTGAAGATATCACCCTTTTCTGTATTCTGAAGTAAACAGAAGACCTCCTTATTTATTTTTATTTTTTGAGGCAGAGTCTCACTGTGTTGCCTGGGCTAGAGTGAGCGCCGTGGTGTCAGCCTAGCTCACAGCAACCTTCAACTCCTGGGCTCAAGCGATCCTTCTGCCTTAGCCTCCCGAGTAGCTGGGACTATAGGCACGTGCCATGATGCCCAGCTAATTTTTTCTCTATATATATTTTTAGTTGTCCAGCTAATTTCTATTTTTAGTAGATACGGGGTCTCGCTCTTGCTCAGGCTGGTCTCGAACTCCTGAGCTCAAACAATCCTCCCGGCTTGGCCTCCCAGAGTGCTAGGATTACAGGCGTGAGCCACCGCACCCGGCCAGAAGATCTCCTTAAAAGATTCTGATACTCAAATGAATGAATGTGAATAATTTTTAATGGTAGTAATATATGCTTTTTTTTTTTTTTTTTAGATAAGCAAGAGTATTTGAGCAGAAAGGGCTGAAATCACAATATGTCTTTCCCTGTTTGAAATCTCAACAGGAAACCTTGATTAACCACAAAGCATCTATACCCCAATAGTGTGAAAATAGCAAGAATTGACGATACCAGACCTAGAGAATGCACACTACACATGCTCATGGATTAACTAGAGCTAAGGGAAAGCCAACTGAGAGAATGTTTTTCCTCATTTATAAAACAATGAGGAAAAACATATTCAGATTTTATACTTGGAACTGAGAAGTTGGCCTCTTCTCTGAGAAGTTGAAAGTGTCTCAATCTAAAAAAAATGTTTCCAAACATTTATTCCCCCACTTTACTAAAGTGTGATTTTTATACTGGCATGTTGAATACATGAGAATTTTTAAACAATAAATTGCACATGGAATTACTGGCATTAAAAGCTAAAGGTAGTACTTACGCAGGACAATATTGGCAAACATAGTAGTATTTCAGAAAATCCTGATTGGGACAGTAGGCAATTCCACATCCAACGAGGTAAGATGAGTACCAAACAAGCTACAAATCCATCAGGGCATAAACATATGAGAGTACATTAGAGAAGAGGAAAAATATTAACAAAAACAAACAGTTGCAAATATAAAACTGAAAAATGTTACTGTTGTAGTTTGTAGCCATATACCTTATAAAAATATTGAATCAAAGTCATAAACTTTTAAAATATTAAATTTTCATGTACATTCACCACTTCATCAATTTATAATGTAGGAATAGTGCAGAGTGTGCTTTCCTACAAAGATTGGGCAGACCTTGGACAAAAATGACAGCTCTAGATAATATATCGACCAGCCAAATGCCAAGACTATATTATACCTATTCAGGCTGTTCCCCCAAATTGAACATTGGGAGTTGGTCATAATTTGGAGCAGCTTGCTATATTAGAGGTATTGTGGCAGAGGTATTTTCATCCATGCCTCTTACCTGAGTATAATGTCCAATAACTTTATCGGGATGTTTTTGTCCTACACCGTACTCAAAATCTAGGCTCTCATCATACCAACTTTGGATTGCATTTGACCAAGAAGTAGGGTCACTTGACATATAGAGATTCTCACCACATTTTGTACCTAAGAAGGAACAGATCATTCATTAAAAAAGAAAAAATGAAACATGTAATGGTAAAATAAATTGACTTACAAACACAAAGATACTGTCCTTCAAACAATGGGCACATAGTTGCTAACTGTTGCTAAATTCACAAGGAGGGTGCCTCAGTTCCTTATAAGCTATAATAACACTGATTAGAACGCAGAATTGCCTAACACACTGAAGCTGGCCTGAACATGCAGAACTGTGAGAAGTTTGAGAAGACTCCACTTTTTTGTTTGTTTTTGTTTGAGACAGAGTCTTGCTCTGTCATCCATGCTGGAATGCGGTAGCACAATCACAGTTCACTGCAACCTCAAACTCCTGAGCTGCAAGGATCCTCCTGCCTCAGCCTCCTGAGTAGCTAAGACTACAGGTGCATGCCACCACACCCAGTTAAATTTTAAAAATATTTTGTACAGATGAAGTCTTTTTAAGTTGCTCAGGCTGGTCTCAAACTTTTGACCTCAAGTAATTCTCTCGCCTTTGCCTCCCAAAGTGATTGGGATTATAGGCATGAACCACTGTGGCTGGCGCTGATATGAAATTTTTAGATTTTTAGGATTTAAAAATCTTCCTCCGGATTGCCAAAGATGCATTCATTTGCAAGCTAAATTCTTCACATATGTGTGTCTCCTGTGTTCTCAGCTTTATATTGTAAGCTTGCTGATGGCAGTGGCCAACTCTTACATTTTCTTGCTCTTGTAACCCTCACTAGAGGTTTTCCACATATAGGACCCTGAATAAATGTTTATGATTTTGTGTGAAGTTTGAAAAAAAAAAAAAAAAGGCTTCTTAGGCAGTCTTTAAGAGTACTAAACAAGAGACAACTGACCCCAGCAGGGATGACAGTTTTAAAAATTTGTGATTCTTTCCTTAACCAGGAAATCAGAATATCAAAAGCCCAAATCCTCCTCAGAGAGTTAAGCAAGAAGTGCCTTACAGCCCAGTAGCATTTCTCTATTTTTTGCAAGCCTTCACTTAATGTTTACATTTTAGTGGTTTGAAATGTAATGTCTACATGCTGCTTAAAGATAGCATAAAACTTTCTCGCATATCTACTTTCATAGAGAAGAAAGAAATGGTCTTGAATCTCTAAGACCATTTGTTTCAATATTCCACAGAATACAGTCATCTCCCTAATTTCATTATTATTATAGCATCAGCAATAAAAATAACAATAGCTTCTTTGAAATAACATGTATATTATTCACTACTTGCCAATTGGGCTTGTCTATAATATATGTCATTCTTGATAATGTAAGTAAATATTTTATGTAAAGTTCATGCATATAAGTTTTTTCTCATAGTTTTTATAATTTTTGACATTTTATTTTTGAGTCTGATATAGTATTCCATGCATTGTGGCACCCAGTGCAAACAAAATACTTGACTACTTCATGTAAAAAATTTTAAAAATAAATCAACATATTCAAAATATTCATTTTTATATGAATTTTGAATATAATTTTTAGGATGATTTAAAAGGTTAAGTATTTTTAGAGCAAAACTCAGGAATAACTAAAGATAAAATTCAATATATTTTAGGAATACAAAATATAGATTTTAAAACACCAAACAGCTACCTAATGTCATAAAAAGGGCATTGAGTTAGAAATCAGAAAGGTTGGTTAAAAATTTCTAGTATGACACTGCTCCAAGTTGTGTTCTTGGATAAGTCACTTTTCTTTCAAATCCTGGCTTTATAATCTTTAAAATTACCAAAAATAGGGAGAAAGGATGGTGAATGGGAAAATTTTGAGTTTGGAAAATAAGAGTGTTTGATATTTCTTCTGTTAGAAAGTCTGAAATATAAAACACTAAAAAAAAGTAGCTATTCCTCAATTTTCAGTCTCTGTGATCTAATTTGATTCTTCCCAAACAGTATGCATACTGAATACAAAATAACAAAAAGGCTTTTCATTCATTTATATATAAAAAAAATTACCAAAAATAAAATAAAGTAAAATAAAATAAAGTAAAATAAAATAACCTCATGAGCTGGTTGAGAGAAGCAAATGAGATACCGTGTGAGAAATTATTTGCATAATGTAAACAATAAACAAGCACACAATTATTCTTATTGTAATTATCCCTCTGTATACAAATACTTTGACTTTGAAAAGACAGTTGTATCAGAAATATTCTCAAAGTCTTCTTTATGCAATATCCTGCAATCACCCATTGTTACTTTATTTGTTCATTTATTCAACAAATATTTACTAATTTACATACTGGTTTTTCTGTCCTCTGGATTACTGTGTTCTAAAGTGCACTTATTTGCCCACTTTTGAGCATTTGCTGATGCTTCTCTGTTCCATTCCTAAATGTCACAAGAAAACAAAATACATTTAGTGATTCAACCACAACGAAACATATATTTTATAATCTGATTGGTAGGTTAATTTGCAAGACTTTGAAACTTCTGCAGATGTATTATCTAATTATTATTATTATTAAAATGTCTTTTTGTTTGTTTTTGATGTGTCTATCTCTCCCAGAGCCAGTTTCTCCATGAAGAAAAGTCCATAGGTAACATGTCTAAAAAGCAAGATATCTAAGACAATAATATGTGGCTATTTATGAGACCACAGCAGCCACACCTAGGATTTTTAGGAATGGTGCTACTCTAGGTTTTGATAAGCGTGTGTTTTATTTATATTTCGATAGTAATAAGCTGGCCTTGGTTATTCGCAATTTCATTTGTAGATGACTGTTTTCATATTGGAGATACATGGCTTTTAGGGACTGTTCCCTGGAAGTGGGCTTTTATTTATACTAAATCACACTGATCCTGAAGGAAAGGGGATTTCTTGATTGTCTACTACAAAAAATGGAGAACAAAAAAATGTAACGGCTTCATGCTGGATGCCCAAAGAACGATTTGGCTTCTAATTCTGCCTTCCCAACTTAATAACCCTGTAACCATATAGTGACTATAATCAACAATACGTTAGTGTACACTTTAACTAAAAGAGTGGAATTGGAATGTTCCTAACCCAAAAAAAGGAAGAGTGGCCTGAGGTGATGGATACCCCAATTAGCCTAATTTGATTAATTCACATCGTATGCCTGCATCAAAACATCACATATTACCCTGTAAAGATATACAACTATCATGTACCCATAATAATAAAAAAGACAAAAAGGTGCAAAAATAAGAAATATAGTTCTCCTTATATAACAGTTCAAATAAAATAGCAAAATACAAAGTTCTTAAGAGATGCCAGCTGCCTGCTCCTTCCACAGCTGGTTCACACCCTTTCCTTACACGCTGCCTCTTACCATCTTGAGCATGTTGCTGGCAGGTGGAAAGACTGCTCTCCTCAGTTCATTGTGTTTGTCTACGATCTCCCTTTGCACTTGTGTTTGGGTGGTTAACAAAGCAGTAAAAGCTGGATCCTAAAAGAAAATAAAATTAGAATTTTTTTTAACATATTTGGAAATTACATATAATAATGAATAAGTGAGTTCAAGAGAACAAAAATCACTTTAAAAAGTGCACAATATTTAGTTATCATGTGGTATTGCAAAAATGTTAAAAAGCAAATATTAGCTGTTAAGCATTGCCAGTGAATCTCGGCCAAAGCTATGACTTTTAAATAGGAAAGATTGACGCTTTGAGACTTGGGAGTAATTTATGACAAATTGAAAACTCTTCCACAAATTCCACAAATTCCAATTTCTGGTTTCAAGGGAGCTTTCAATATGACTTTTATAGACATATGATGGATAATATTTTATAACCACAAAGGTACATAACTGGAATCTTAAGACATATTTATTCATGTTTGATCAGGCCGTAACCAGGTGAGGTAAGGGTGGAGACATTTGATTAATCCTAGGCATTAAGGGGAAGTTTGCCCTGACAGTATTAAGGAAAGAATGTTTAGGCACAGTCTGTGTCTCACATTCAGTACTCTAGTAAAACCATTGTACCTATTATGAAGCAGATTTTACAGGGTTGCTCAAAAAACAGCTTTGTAATACTAAAAAAATCTTCAAGACAAGTTGGAGGGAGCAAATCCATCTAGTGAATGGACTATCCTTGAATTCGTTCCTTTTAGTAAGGGAAATATAACTGATAAGGTATTAAATCAGGTGCTGATATTTTTGGTTTGTCTTTGTGGCTGTGTGTGTGTCAGGGGGTGACCTGGAGGAGGAATAAGGTGTGTAAATTATTGGTTCAAGGTCTAAGCAATTTGATGCTTTAAATTTAAACAAAAATATGATATTATATAGGGATGATTAAGATTCTGAAGTCTAAAAGGACAGAGGCCCTTATAGATTTTGTCTGATTTTGTCTTACCTAGGGGTAAGTTATCCTCCCCTCCTTCCACACTGGGTTCCCTTGAGGCTCTCCACATACTGCCAACATAGGTCAGACCACATTTCATTGCCGTTATCTACTATACGCCCATTTCTCTTTCCTGCTTTTATGTTCCTAAGGACAAGGACTATTAGGGAATGCCATTGTACCGATAAATACGGCATAGTTACTGACTCCTAAGTTAGAAAGGATGCCTATGTTAAATATTAGTAGAGGCTGATCTCTGCATTACACCAAAGTGTAAAATAGCATGCCTAGTTATTTCCTACTGAACTCAGAAACCTGCTTAAAGTAGTTTCATTTCAAAACACATAAAAAGTTGGTTTCTGAGAAAAAAGAAGCATCTTGCTTTGTGGATAAAAATTCTACTAAAGAAGAGATTTTTTTTATGAATATTAATAAAGCTTTCATTCTATAACTAAAAATATTAAAAGTGTTGAGAATAAAATGAATAAAATATGGTATGCATCTGTCTTTAAAAGGTTTATATTAGATAGGTGATATGGCGTGAGTAAATAATTATAATACCATACGATAACAAACTGATGGGAGGATCCACAAGATACAGAGGAAGGAGGGATCGATTCTTCTTGCTCATAGTCAGGGAAAGATTCACAAAAGATGATTCTGGACTGGAGTTTTGAAAGATGAACAGTGTTTTCTAAGCATCTTGAGAAAGCTCAGAAAATGATAGTAGGCAGAGTATATGTAGAGTATCTAATCAGTAAACGTTTTGTGGTATGAAAGACCAAATAATAATAATTTTATAAATGAAGACCAGGAGATGGGCCAGTGAGGTTAAAGGGGACTGGAAAAGGCCATGAAAGAAAATATTTTTGAAAGAAGTTGAAAAAATAGCAAATCATTTGAACGAATCCCTAAGTAATGAATAAGTTATCTCCATATTGATAATCTGATTATTAACACACAATGACTTATATTTCTGAATGACAATGAAGTTTGAACCAATGTCAGAATTCTCCAGTCTGAAGAGCCCTAGCTAGTCTACTGTGCCCAGAGTTGAAGGAAGGTGTGAGAACAACAAAGACCAAAGCTCCTCACATTCAGAAGCTACCTGGCCAGGAAACACAGATCATATATGAGCAGTACACACTCCACCACTGAAGATGATTCGCCATATTCTGGGATCATTTAAACAAGGTAGCATATTAGAAATAACTAGAAGATCTTCTGTTAAGACATGGACCATTCACATAGTAACTCTACAATCATTAATAAACAAAACACCAAGACCTTTAGGGTTACCATTTTTGTTTTAACTTTAAAAACAGGTCTATTCTTACACAGTAACTATGAAAGTTAGAGGTGCTGATATATATGAAGAAGTTGTGCTAATTTAAGATTATATAAATATATTGTTAATTTTCTGTGGGGATCACATTGAAAAGGATTAAAATTAAGGAAATTAGAAAAGATCTTTGGGTAGGAGGACTATCATTAGCTTTTTAAATCCATAGGGAGGAGGGGTCAAGTTCATAGATGAAAGCAGCCTGCACTCACTGCTCTCAAGGAGAGGAGCAAAGGTTGTGGGTAGAGGTTCACCC